TTTTTGTTCCTCGCCCTCTCTGATCTTGGGCTTCTCTGGCTTTTGAAACAGTTCTTTGCCGAAGAGCTGTCTGTCCCTCTCCCATCATCCCTGTTTGCTCAGGAGAAAGTGCATGACTTCCACCCTTTTTTCCCACCAGCTTTAACTCTTAAAGAACGGCCACATAAATTAATACGCTGACATCTGCAGAGTTCATCAGCAACTTTTGTAGAAGCATCTTCAAGTGCCCACCCTTCCAGGACTCTCCACACTCTTCAGTCACATCCTGGAGTACACAACCCTGTCCTGTGACCTGCAGGCATCCTTGTGCTGACCTACAGGACCCATGAAGGCAAAGCTGGCTTAACCAGCTTACAGCCTCGTGGCCCAGGGAAGACTCCTGCCCACTCCAGACTATGAGAGGCCTCAAATTTAGCACAGACTGCGCTCTTCCAGGTGCCTGATGGGGTCTTCCAGTGGAGGTCATGCAGCATAGGAGGCTGAGAGGTTAAGTAATTCTCTGCCAATCTAGTATGTGGGGAAATACCTGTAAAATCATTTTGAATCAGTAGCTTTTATCCCTTAACCACTTATTGAAGAAAACTGGTAAGCTCCTTACCTCAGTAATATTTCTGCAATGACATACTAATCAGCATGCCTACTGTTATAGCCAAACATTGCTCTCTGACTCATATTCTTATTTCCTTCCCCAATCTCCTCCTTCTTCAGTCCCTCCAAATTTTAGAATTTCCTGATCTAAACTCTATAATTTTCTACCTACCTCTAAAAAATGCAGAGATGTGCATATGTCATACATGTGTCGCTCAATAAATTATCAAAAAGTAAACATCCTCATGGAACCACCACCAGACTTTACCTTTTGTTTATCTTTGAGGCGATTTTCTTTCATTCTTTTTACGGACTTTGTGAAAAAATTCACAACACTTCTTGGAAACAGAGAAATATTTAATGCTTCACAGACCGGGGTGAGGAATGGAAAGAATACTGTAGGGAAAAAAACAAAAGGAAAGCACAGTGAAAATGCAAAGTTTACCTGGAGCAACTACTGTTTACTCCATCAATCAAAAAATAAAAACACCAGAGCACTCAAGCAGGAGCCATTCCTCTACATTTGCTCAGACTTCCAAGCCAATGGCTGAGCAAGAGTAAGTCCACATCCAGGGGCCATCACTATAGGAGTGAGGTCAGTGTCCCCTTTTGCATCTTTGGGATGACCAAAGGAACAGGATTATATTCTGGTGCCTTGGTGTCTTTAATTCTTGGACTGGTTTCTCTTTGGATAAACCAGGCCATAGTCTGTTACTTCAATCAACCATGCTATTTAAAAAAAAAGAATAGTCATGATAGAAATAATACAGTGTATGTCTTTCATCACAATAGAATATAGCTAGAAATCAATAAGAGAAAGAAAATTGGGAAACTTTCAAGTATGTGGAAATTAAATGACACACTCCTAAATAACCAATGGGTTGTAGAAGATATCAAAAGGATAATCAAAAATTACTTTCAGATGAATAAAAATGAAGACACAACATATCAAAACTGATGGGATATAGCAAATGCAATGCTCAGGGAGAAATTTATGGCTATATATTTGGTTTACATTTTAAACCAAATCGTTTTAAAACATTTAAACATTTTAAACCAATGGTTTACATTTTAAAAGAACAAAGATCTCAAGTCAAAAGCCTAACTTTCCACCTTAACACACTGCAAAGAGAAGAGCAAACAAAACCTAAAGGGTAGAAGGAAGAAAATGAAAAGATGAGAAAAGAAACTCCAATGAGCAGGAGGATTAAAAAGCAATGGAAAAAAAATCAATGAAACCAAAAGTTGTTGCTTTGAAAAAAAGTTTCAAGCGAATGACCAAGAAAAAAATTGAAAATGCTCAAATTGCAATACCAGAAAGAAAGAAGGGGGATTGCAACTGACATTTTAAAACTGAGGACTGTACAGAGAGAGAAAGAAAAATACCATATGATATCACTTATATGTGGAAACTAACAAACCAAAAAAAAAAGATAGAAATGAACTTATCTACAAAACAGAAACAGACTCACAAACATAGAGAACAAACTTATGGTTACCAGAGGGTAAAGCAGGTAAGAAGGGATAAATTGGGACTTCAAAATTTGCACCCCATGGGGAGTGATGGAAATGTTAATCATGGTGGTGGTTTTATTGGTGCATACATTTATTAAAATTAATCAAATTGTACATCTGAAATATGTGTAGTTTACTGTAGAGGAACCATACCAAAATAAAGATGTTTAAAAAATACCGAGGACTATAAAGAAATCTATGAACAGCAATATGGCAATAAATTAGATGACTGAGATAAAATGAACAGATTCCAGACGAAAACCACAGAAACTTACTCAAAAAGAAATGGATAATCTGAATACACCTATAAGAAGTACAAGGTTTGAGTTAGTAATCCAGAAACCACCCACAATTTGGCAAGGAAAAGCTCAGGTCCAGATGGTTTCAATGGTGAATACTGCCAAATATTTAAAGAAGAATTAACACCATTTTTTCACAAACTCTTCCCTAAAATAGAAGACATCGAAACATTTCCAAACTGTATGAATCTGATTCTAAAACAAGGCAAAAATAGCACAAGTGAAGAAAACTACAGAATGCAATCCAACTATAAATGGGCAAAGGATTTGAACAGACATTCATATGAAAAAGAATGTGGGAAAATCTATGGGACGCAGCAAAAGCAGTCTTAAGAGGGAAGTTCATAGCAATATAGGCCTTCCTCAAAAACAAGAACAATCTCAAGTAAACAACCTAACCTATCACCTAAAAGAATTAGAAAAAGAAGCGGAAACAGAACTTAAAAGTCAGCAGAAGGAAAGAAATAATAAGTATTAGGGAGGAAATAAATAAAAAAGAGATTTTAAAAACAATAGAAAAACTAATCAAACCAAGAGCTGATTTTTTTGAAAGAATAATCAAAATCAACAAACCTCTGGCCAGGCTCACCAAGAAGACAAGAGAGAAGACACACATAAGCAAAATAAGAAAGGAAGATGGAGAAATTACAACCAGTACTACAGAAATACAAAAAAAAATTAAAGAATGCTACGAACAACTATATAGAAACAAGCTGGACAACCTAGAAGAAATGGACATGTTTCTGGAAACATATAGTCCACCAAGACTGAATTAAGAAGAAACAGATCACTTGAACAGACTGATCACTAGGAATGAAATAGAATCAGCAATAAAAAAAACCAAAACCTCCCTATAAACAAAAGTCCAAGACTAGATGGCTTCCCTGGGGAATTCTACCAAACATGCAAAGAAACAGCTCATACTGATCTGTCTCAAACTCTTCCAAGAGATTGAAAAGGAGAGAATACTCCCAAACTCATTCTATAAAGCCACCATCACCCTGATGCCAAAACCAAAGACATTACCAAAAAAGAAAATTAAAGGCCAATATCATTGATGAACATAGATGCAAAAATCCTCAACAAAATATTAGGAAGCAGAATCCAACAACACATGAAAAAGATTGTACACCATGATCAAGTTAGATTCATCCCAGGGACACAAGTATGGTTCAACATACACAAATCAGTCAGTGTGATACATACACCACATCAAGAAAAGAAAGGACAAAAATCACATGATGCTCTCAATAGATGCAGAAAAAGCATTTGATAAAAGTCAACATCCACCCATTTATGCTAAAAACTCTTACCAAAGTGGGTATAGAGGGAATAGATCTCAATGTAACAAAAGCTATTTATGACAAACCCAGAGCCAGCATAATACTCAATAGTGAAAAACTGATAGCCTTCCCACTAAAACCTGGATTAAGAGAAGGATGAATAAAAAAAAATAAAGTAGTCTCCATACTTATTGTGAGAAGGAATGGATCAAGGAAATTAAATCTTAAAAGTTTCTTGGAATTTTCTACAAAAGGATCCTGTGGGTTGTTGAGGGAATCAACGTTCACTCCAAATGCTGTGCTGGTAATCACATCCATGCTGTAGGCCCCAAAGATGCTGAGTAGAGAAAGGAAGACATGAACAATTAAAATCAACACCTCTTTACTGTCCCTACCCAACACATGCAACAAGAATGTATGTAAATTCAGGTGCCCAAGACAGGTAAAGAGCCACATGCTTTCAGAACCACCTGCTGGATCATCTGAATAGTCTGTGTAACTAACACTTGCCTACGAGGTGTTTATGAGGTTCCAATGATGCAGATGACGCTGCACTGGGGATGATGGGGACACTAAGGAAAGTTAGACCCCCAGAACCTGTTTCTCAGGAGCTCAGGCCTGGTGGGATAGATCCCCATAATCAGACAAATTTCAGTAGTGTGTTTTGACTATAGACAATAATAGATGTATATATAAGGATTGTTTTTGCGCAGAAAAAGGATGGAATACTACACTTTTCCCGGGGAGTCGAAAAACAGGGCACTGATGTGGGTCTTGCCTCACACAGTACCTGTGCTCAGAACTGACTCCTGTTCAGCACATTACAGAACAGCAGCACCCTGTTCTGAGTTGCCAGGACAACTTCCTTTTCTTCCAACCCTCCTTGTCTTACACCCCTGCTAAGGCTCCTGAAAGACCCGCTCTTCCTCAACTCCACTGATCTGTGGTTGCCCTGAGGGAAGAATCATTTCTGTAAAATGTAACAACCAAAAATGTTTATAGTTTAAAAATAAATAAATCACTTCAACGTTGACTTAGGGATCCCATAGATGGGTGATAATATGTTCCCAGTTTTCCTGGGACATTCTCAGTTTACACCTGTTGTTCCTGCATAATTTTCTTTAAAAATTTCAATTTAGACAACAAATGCTGTGGTCACCCTACTCATAGCCTGTGCAGGGCCTTCTCCCTTTTGAGATTGAAGGAAGAACAAATGATGGTTAAAATTAATATTTAGTTTCTGCAGGTACCCTCAGAAAAAAAAAGTGAAGACATTTAAGTTGCTTCAAGTTCCATACTATAACATTTCTGCCCAACCCACTGCCTGCCAATATGTACCAAGAGGCTTCCCTCACCACCCTTCCATACCCTCTGCACTCAAAACTTTGGCACAAGAAAGTTTCTTCTTTCTAAACTTAGAATTTTTGTCTTCCAGAATATCCAAAGTGACAGTCACACAGATGAGTTAATCCTGGCTTACGTCCACAGGAGGAGACACTTTCTCTCTTGGGTGCTCTACCTTTTTGATGAGCCACCACTCCTTCTTGGGTGGATGGACCATTGGAAATGTAACACCACATACCTACTTCTGTCTGGTCACTAGAGTAACACAATAGTGGGAATTTCAGCTCCGTGGCAGGCAGCTGGAGCCACAGTGCCCGGAACACCAACTTCACCCCTACTTACTCCTTCATGGTGACGGGGTTGCCTTTCTCTGCTTCCTTCCTCATATTTCTCACCAACACATCTCCATACTGACCAATGATGGGGAACATCTAGACACAAAATACAACACCACCTGAGGTTAAGTACAGAGACTCAAGTCCTAGAAGGATCTGGTTTTCCTAAGCATGGATCAGGAAGTGACATTTTATAATGAGTCTTAAAATGTCTCTTCTAGGATGGAAAGATAAGACTGTTTTAAAGAAACTCAAATTCAGCAGACTTCTCCTTGGAAACAGACTATAATCTTATTTTTACCTGTCCCTAAAGTCATTCTTTAAGTTTCTAATAAAAGTCCTCTTCTTTTCTTACCTCCTTGAGCTTTCCACTGGTGAAGGTTGGAGACAGCAGTGTTCGTACTCTCTTCCATTGTTCATCCTCAGCCACAGACATGGCAGATTTCATAATTCCCCTTGGGCCAATGAACTAGAGGCAAAATCAAAACATCTTCACCCTATGTAAGTTTTTGAATTTTCAACAGTTGTAGAAAATTTCCCTTTTAGGGAACCAGTTATTCAACAAATATTTAGTGACTGTCAACTTAGTAGCATGTCCCATCCTAGGTGCTTGAGAAATATTTATCCAAAATGTCTATAGCTTCCTGTGAGGGCAGAGGTGACATCCAGCCACTTGATGTGGTTTCCAGCCTTTGCATACAAATCTCTTTTTTAAAAATTGTTTTATTGAAGTATAGTTGAATAGTTGATTTACAATATTATGTTAGTTTCAGGTGTACTGCAAAGTGATTCAGGTATTTTTCCTGGATTATTTTCCATTAAAGGTTATTACAAGGCATTGGATATAGTTCCCTGTGCTATAAAGTAAACCCTTTTGCTTGTCTATTTTATGTACAGGAGTTTGTATCTGTTAATCCCATACTCCTACATGACCCATGTGATAGGACACTGTTCTTCCAGGGGGACAGACAGGAATAATACATCCTTCACCCCCCCGGGGCTGTGCAGAGTAAGAGAGAACTGGTGACAGGGAGCCAGAGGGCTTCGGCAAGTGTGTACTGCCTCAGGCCAGTCTGTCTTTATGTATATCGACAGCATGAGCATCAAAAATGTATGTCTCCCTGAGGGAGGGTACAGCTCAGCGGTAGAGTGGGTGCTTAGCTTGCACGAGGTCCTGGATTCAATCCCCAGTGCCTCCATCAAATAAACAAACAAACAAACAAATAAATAGTGGCTAACATGAAGCTTACATAAAACTTCTTATAGATATGAGTCTATTTTAAGCTTATAACGACTACAGGTTGTTCTCATTCAAATTCTCAATGCTTTTACTACCCTGCACCCTCCGCTTACCGTATGTGTTAGATGTCACAGTTTACTGAGTTTACAGTTGATCCTTGAACGGTCCAGGGGGTTAGGACTTTGACGCTCCTCACATCATAATAAAAATTTGCATATAACTTACGGTCAGACCTCCTTAACATGGTTCCTGTGTATCTGGGGTTTTGCATTCAGGGATCCAACTAATCACAGCCTGTGTGCCAGAGGACTATTTACTGTTGAAAAAAATGCTGGTGTAATTGACCCAAGCAGTTCAAACCCATGTTGTTCAGGGTCAAATGTACATCTTTTTATATTGTGTATTCATTAACAAATTACGTTAGCCACTAAGAAAAACCTGCAGCAGACACAGAAAAGACAAAGAGAAAGCAATCAAGGATATCACTATAAAGCAAAAATCATGGAATCAGAAAATATACTACAGGAAGAAGAGAAAAAGGAAGAACAAAGGATCTGCGAAACTCCTGGATTAACAAATGGCAACAGTCAGTCCTCGCTACAAGAATCACTTTAGATGTAGATGGACAGGTGAATGGATAACGAAAATGTGATACTCAGCTTTAAAAACGAAGAAAATCCTGCCATTTGAGATACATGGATGAACCTTGGGGACAACTTGCTAAGTGATTTAAGCCAGACACGGAAGGGCAAATATCATATGATCCCACTTACCTGTGAAAACTTAAAAAAAAAGTCAAGCTGAAAGTAACAGTGAATAGAATGATGGTTCGGAGAGGCTAATGAGGAGTGAGGGAATAAGGTGAAGGGAAGACCCTGATGAGGGTACAATTTTTCAGTTATAGGATGGATCAGTCTGGGAGAACTAATGTACAGCCTGGTGAGTACAGTTAATAATGCTGTATTACGTACCTGAAATTTGTTGAAAGATTAGGTTTTAAATGTTTATATGATATACACAAAATAGGTAACTATGGTAATTAGTTTATGATAATTTTTCTCAATGTATACATATATCAAAGTATGTTACATACATTAAATGCATATAATTTTATAGGTACAAAATATATAAAAAATTTTCAATGGTGAAAGACTGAATGTTTCACTCTGTTCAGGAACAAGACAAAGATTTCCACTCATCATTCTTAGCCAACATCATAAGAAGTCTTAACTAGTTCAGTTAGCACTAGCTAGCGCAGCAAGAAAAGAAAAAAAGGAATGAAAGACATAAAGATTGGAAAGGGAAAAATAGAAGCGTTCCTCTTTTCATGTGACATGATTGCCAACATGGAAAATCTCAAAGAAAATAAAAAGAAACTCTATAGAACTAATAATTGATCTCAGCATGGTAGTGGCGGGAGTTACACAAAGCCACGTAAACACTACGTCTGCACAGAGCAACACACACACACAAACAAGTGCACGAGAAACTGATGAAATCCGAACAAGCTCTGTGGGTGGCATCAACGTCAGTTTCCTGCTTTGATACTGTACTATAATCATGCAAGATAGTAAACTTGGGGGAAAAGGATGAAGAGCAAATGACATGGCACTTCCCTGTATTTTCCTCTTTTGACAACATCCTGTGAATGAATAATTATTTTAAAATAAATATTTAATGATACATAAAGTTTTAAGCTAAAAAAGGGGATGCTTACCCTCCGATTTGTGAAGACAGAATAACATTCTTTCACTAGTACTGTTTTAATCATGTCTGGATCTGTGATCGCCAACACAGGCTGTCGACCGTCATAAATCCTGTGTAGGGAAAACAGAGCTGATTAAATTCAATGAGCCAGTTTCTGCAGCTGGAGCCACACCTGGAGTCCAGACTTTCATCCTGATGTTACATAATCCTTACTCCTAGAGATCGTGGTTGGAAAACCATTAGAACATTTGTTAAGTCTAGGTGGTTTGTACATGGTAATTTCCAACACTGCTCTCCAAAATTTTTATATGTTCAAAATGTTTCATTATCAAACTGGAAGCTAGTTTAGTAAATACTTGAAGGCAAATAAATTAAGTAAGAATTAAAAATAATTAATTTGATTACTAATAATTAATTTTA